GTGTGCACAGACCAACGGTCCAGCGGTAACCTGTGCACAGACCAGCGGTAACTTGTGTGCACAGACCAGCGGTAACTTGTGTGCACAGACCAGCGCAATTTGTGCAGAGCTGCGGCAATTTGCGCACAGACCAACGTTAACTTGCGCACAGACTTGATCTTGCGACGGGAACTTGCGCACAGACGTGATTGTCATATCGTAGTTATGATGGTGATGGTGATGGTGATGATGATGATGATGATGATGAGCCATCTGTCACGACCCATGAGCTGCAAGTTGAGCGTGATTTGAAGCCTCGACTTGCTCCATGATTGATCAATAGGTCACTAAAGTCTGCTAGGTAATGGGCCTCGCTGCACTACTCTCGACATGCACAAAAGACAAAAATCATGGGGGTGTATCTTTCCGTAATCTAGCGGAAGATTCACTCTCGTTTTGCACATTTCGAGAGTAGTGCAGCGAGGCCCAATATTACTATTTAGCGAAGCGAATTGCTCCGTGAACGATCGCTACTGCTCGCTGCCGTTTTCCCCCGGACATAACGCACCCTGATCATGAATGTATACAACCTATATTGCCGGTCAGGTACATCCAAAATGAGGGTGCGTTGCGTTCGGTGGAAGACGGCAGCGAAAGAGGACTCCTCTAAAGTCAGCTAGAGGCTTGTAGCGAAGCGAATTGCTCCGTGTGATTGGTCGAGCGCTACTGCAGTTTAGCCAACAAGGTCACTGACGTCAGCGAGGTAAGATTATGCTAGCGAAGCATTTGGTCGTCGGCGCTGTCCAAATGCACTTATTTTCTGATTGCTCTGCCCTCGTCAAGAGCGACGATCACGGAGCACGTCGACTCGTCGAGTGTTCAACTCCCTCTCCTGCATTTGGTCGTCGGCGCTGTCCAAATGCACTTCTTTGGTCGAGTGTTCACGTATAATGAGGATGATGAAGTAGTGTGCTTGCGTGCGCGTGCGCGTTCACATCTCCTCCATCTCACAGTGATTATGTATATATATACATATATATATATATGATAGTCTACTTTGATTTTGGTTAAGGTAGATTATCATTTACAGTGTAATCAGTGAGGGGATTCTGCAGACTGTTGCGGGTTCAGCCTCCTGATGAGTCGGTGAAACTCCGACGAAACAGTTTGTCACAGCCCCTCGTTTGTTGTCCTCTTCTCTCTCTCTGCCTACGGTTTACCGGGCAGTTCTGTTTGTGACGATATATATATATGTATGATGCATCCCTAGATATACTTGTATATATGTATGTGTGTATCGTCATATAGTATATGCCATTATACGTGCATATGATGCGCACGGCTCTGCTTGTGCGCGGGGTTTCGCATTTGCGTACCCTTGCGCGTCGCAATGTCGATCGTTCCGCTTGCGCATGCGCGCGCATTCCCTTGTGCATCCTTGGCGCGAGACGACTTTGCATCCCCCCGTGATGGAGGCCATGCTCGTACTGATTCACTCACTGTTTTTTTTTTTTTTTTTTTTTTTTTTTCACTCACTGGGTTTCGCTTCTCCCGCTCATGAGTCTCAGAAACTGTTCATGCGCACGGCACTGATGCGCGGGAAAGGGCAACGCCAGTGAGCGGATCATGGGCGGGAAAGGCAAGGTCCCACTTGCACGGATTAAGAGATTCTGGCCGTCGATCTCTGCTATCTACGGTCGCCGACCAGCTTAATTCGTGTAAGTGGGACCTAGCCCCGGGAAAGGCAAGCTTGTGTGTGCATCATGGGCGGGAAAGGCAAGCTTGTGTGTATATCATGGCAACAGCACTATAAGAAGGAAGTACTTTCTCATTGGCGCATGTTGGAGCTACTGTGAACTTGCTTCGGGCCTCGCCACACCAGTCTTGAAACGGGGAAATACGTCAAGAGCTGTCAGACGTTCTCAAGAGTTGGGTTTTCAAGAGTTTTCGGCCCCTCGCCACACAGCACTCTCGAACGCGCCATGCCGTTCGACACAGGATGAAAAACGACAGTCATACAGCTAGCTTTGTTTTTTTCGCATGGCGTCAGTATAACGGCCTGACAACAACTCTTGAAAATCAATAGAGAAGTCCGTCAAGGGCTCGGCCAAGCAGCCTCCTGCACTACTCTTGAAATGCACAAAAGACAAAAATCATGGCCGTGTATCTTTCCATGTTCTAGCGGAAGATTCACTCTCGTTTTGCACATTTCGAGAGTAGTGCTGCGAGGCCCAAGGACGCTTGGAAACGCATGTGTTGCAGGCAGGCTGGGGTTTTGAATCTTTCAAGAGCCCCTCTTGAAAGAAAGGGGGTTTTGAGAGGGTTTCAAGAGGCTGCCACTCTGACAGCTCTTGACTGCGCCAAGTGGCAAGAGGCTGTGTGGCAAGAGGCTGTGTGGCGATGCAACAACTCTTGAAAACTACAGTTTTCAAGGGCCGCCTCGCTGCACTACTCTCGAAATGCACAAAAGACAAAAATCATGGTGGTGTATCTTTCCATGTTCTAGCAGAAGATTCACTCTCGTGTTGCACATTTCGAGAGTAGTGCAGCGAGGTCCTTAGGCCGGAGCAGTCGTGGCCGGTGATGTCATTACGTATTTTTTTTATTGAATGTGTTTATTTTCCTTGAGGTTGATTTTTTTTTTCTTTTTCTTTTTTAAATAGAGGCTCCATTCTTTCGTGGGGAGCAGCACGTGTTGGGAACCGGGCCCAACGTCCCTCATACCATATACTGAGGCCGGGGTCCTCACAGTCTACCCGGATTAACTCAAGAATCTGCTAAACTGTTAGGACCGGCAGCATTACCCGGTTTCGCTTCCAGTTGCTATAGAATGAGAGAGGTAAGGAATTGACTGATGAGAGCGAAGTAGTACAGTTCTGAGGAAGAGGATAAAGGACTGAGAAGAATGTTAGTGGAGTAAAGAATCATGGCAAGTAGTACAGTTCTGAGGAAGAGGATTAAAGGACTGAGAAGAATACAGCTGTATGTAGTCACCATGTGCGTTCTATTTGGGAAGGGGTAGTGAGGAGGGAGGTGAGAGGGACATATGGCGGGATGCTATACGAATGAATGGGGAGAAATGGAAAAAAAAGAAAAAAAAAAAGGGATAGGTGCAGAAAGTGTCAGAAAAAAATAATAAAAAAAAGAAAATGGAGCAGAAAGCCTATTCGCGGATAGGGTCCTCAGGGCTGAGGTCCCACTAAGAGGTGGACCCCACTGGACGGCGGCTGGAAAACCCGCGAGGCCATTAAAAACGGCCCACCATCGTCGGAACGTGTTTGGCAGATTTTGTTGGCACCCCACCGCGACCGCAAACTTTGGCAAACTTTGGCATTGGAAACGGCCGCACTTGCCCGAATAGGGAACTTGAAAGGCCAGGTCCGAAATAGGAAACTTCCATAGGGGCACCGGTCCATAACGGCCGCACTTGCCCGAATAGGGAACTTGAAAGGCCAGGTCCGAAATAGGAAACTTCCGTAGGGGCACCGGTCCATGGCCTTCTGTTGTGGCTGTACGCAGGTCCAAAAAATGGTCCCCTCCACCGCTGCGTGGACCATGCCGTCTGGCC